CTTGACCTGACAGCTTGACCTGACAGCCTGACCTGACAGCGTGACCTAGCTTAAATAGATAACAACCACACTTAGCGGACTTTCTTGCGTAGGGTCATGTAACAAATGTCTTAACGTTGCGTAACAATTGCAAACTCAATGTTTATTTTGAGGGACATAAACAGCAGTTACCTGGGTGAAAGTCCTTTTTTCCCCACCAAGATGTAGTTCAGAAGAAAGAAGGAGCCTTTCAAATAGATACACAATTAAATTACAGGTACCTCAGTGACAGTTTAAGTAAAAATGACAAAAAGTTATTTTTTATAAAAGTTACCAACTGTAGCTTTACATATTTTTGAAGCCAACACTGAGAAAAGAAGACCAGTCAAGTACAGTTCTGACATGACAAATATTGGCCGAGGCATAATTTCAGTGTGAATCGTTGTCAGGGTCTCTACCCAGAGTCTCATGGTATCATCGGCAACTCCATGCATGACCCCGTGTTTGATGCCACCTTCACCCTGAGAAGCCGAGAGAAACTCAGTCATCGCTGGTGGGGAGGACAGCCGGTAAGTGCAGCCTCTTCTCTCTGTAGTCTGTCTTTTACCATCTGTAGTTCATCAACACTATAATTGTATTTCATCAGTGAGCTGACAAGGATTTTTTTTTTCCTGTTCTCCTTTTGTTTTTGACGATAAATAACTTTTATGTATGACTTTGAACGTTAGTGTTTTTCAAATTCATCTGACAGATCACAGATTAGAGGCCAACAAAGGCACTAAAGACTTTTCTTTTGAAGCCAACTACAGTATGATTGGCGGGACTCAGATCTAACGAAACCACAACTGATAAGCTTTATAATCCAGTGATTAATAACAGATGATATTATGAAATCTGGCTTGGGATCACTTTTAGTTCTTGCAAGACCAAAGCGTTGACATTAAGTGGTCTGGAACTCTTCAGGGTTTTACTTTAGTGGATTTACTTGTGTTAGGATTTTATTTGACAGAATACTGAGTCAGGATGCACTGCTAACCAACGAGGCTTTACCAGTGTCTTCCAAAATGGTTTACAAACAAAACAAAACCAACCTACTGTATGATTTTGTTCAGGGTAACACTCCGATAGCATCCTCCTAAAATATATCAGACTGATAAAATAAGACTGCACTGTTTCTCTCCTAGATCTGGATCACAGCGCTCAAGCAGGGAGTGAAGGCTGCCACCTTCTTCTGGCCTGTGTGAGTCTACATTTGCTGCTCTTTGTCGCTAAATGTTTTTCTGAATGGCTTGCCCTTTCAGTTCATTTTGTCGGTGCTCTGCATGAGGCCTGGATGTCCAAAAAGTCAATCTTTCATGAATTGAAAGTAAATGACTTCCTTTGCTTTTCAACACTTTTGTAGTATTGTTTTCCCTTATTAATTCCCTTTGGGAATTACAGCTGGGTGGATGCTTTGCAAAGACAGCCTCTCCTCTCTGTGCCACCCAGCTGCTTAGTCAGCACAACTTAAAGCTTCCGATGCAGTTCTCGTACAGTACTTTTAAACTCTGCTCTCTTTGGTCTGAGCTGTTTTGTACGGTAGTAGGGAGTATTAGAGCCATGAGGGACAAAAAGGAGAGGGGGAAGAATTTTATATTTTATTTTTGGATTTTTAGAATAAAGTCGAAATTCTAGTATATGCGCTAATGCTATTGTTCGATTTAATGTCAAATGTCGTCTTTATTCTCGAAATGGTATTTCATCTTTATTAATATTAATGTCAATATTTTTCACATACTCTTGAAATGCAAATTAAAATATATATATTTTTTAATCCTTAGCAATAAAACAGAAAATACGACTTCATTCCCAACATTTCGACTTTATTCTCAAGATGCAAAATAAATTTAAAAATAATAATTAAATAATTTTCCTTATGACTGGCCCTAACACTCTTCCGCAGATCTAGAATAGTTGCCTTTGGCATTTTTACATTTGTGCATGTTTCCCGATAAGTGAATCAGGCGTTGTAAACAAAATTCACAGGGAGTCAGATGTCAGCTTGTTTAATATACTGAATGCACTCTTTGTTGTCATGTATGCACTCTGGCACCAGGTAAGAACACATTAATAAATAGCCAAAGCTCTCTGGCCTGTATTGATATTGGAACCTTTACAACCATGAGACATATTGGCCAATCATGTGTTATCAGTGTCCTCATACCTATAAACCTGAGGTTATGGTGTTAATGTGCCTTAAATACCACTGCGGACACATCTTATCACTGATAAATCCGGAACTGTAAATTATTTGGTGGGAAAATTCCCAAAACAAGTCACAAGAACATGCCCGTTCATGTTCCTGCTGCCCACTCGGGCCGCTGTAGTGACACCTGTAGCCTGTGTGTGGAACACAAATGAGCCCACATTTATCGGCACAGAGACGGCTTTGATGAAGCGGGGAGGCAGATCTCAGCAGAGGGCTGTTTTCACAGCAATTTGGGGAAATGGGCCTGTTTACACTACGCAGGGTTCCTCTGTGAATCGGGGTCGCAGACGTGCCGCCCTACGGAACCGTGGGGGCCGAAGCGTGCGGTTTACAGTGCTGTTCTTGCACTTGGCACTGACAAGAGGTGCGTGAGGAAGAAAGCGAGAGTGAGACAGGACTGTGGCCATGACAGGGACACGGAGAGAGTGTGTTGACATTTCTGTGTGGCTGAGAAAACCCCCGTTTTTATAGTACCACTGTGGGATTAGCATGGTAATGGGGACCAGGGATTATTGCTAAATCATTGGCTGACTGGTTGACGGTCTGTGTTGGGCTCAGCTTTCTGGGAGGTCCCCCCCCCCTTAACCACAAGAAGAGCGTAGAAAGAGGAGAGAAGAAGAAAGAGAGTATATAAAACAAGAAGAGGGGAAATGTTGTTGAAAGTGTGAACATAGACAAAAGTGCAGAAAGGGATCAAACCTGCTGTCAAGTGTTCACGCAGCGAGACCACACCTCCTCGTCCACCCCCCCTCGCGCTACCTCGTACATCGCTCAGGGCCTCAATCCCGGGCTTGATGGTTGACAGCTGTGGACTGTATGACAGCCAGCGGCTTGGTTGGTGGCCTTATCACTACACAGGCAGCCTTTTGACTTTCAGACACAGTCAGAGGGCTCCAAGTGTGTTCTACTTTATGAGGCTCTTTGAGACTCAGAGGGAACAGTTTGGAGTTTAATGGTTTAATGTGTCATGAAGGGCACCTGAATCTGAGTCTATCACTATAATTCTGTGTTCGTGCCATGGCTTGTTTGTCACTTGCAGCTATTGGTTTTATTTAAATGTTAACCAATGTTACTCTTTGTTGTGTGTTTGTGTTCCAGTGCTATCTCTCTGGAGAGGCGGATACTGACCATGCTGCAGTGGCTCCACCTGCCTGAAGGGGAGAGGTGAAATCAGTTTTTCTTTTCTTTTTGGTCCGTCTCACATTTGCCTTTCATCTTCCTGTTTTCTCTTTTTTTTCTTCTTCTTTGCAGCCACAGTTTAGGAAGAGTGGGGAAAAAACACTTTTCATTGTATTGCATTAGTTCTGTGATGTAAACCAGTAGGACAGCCGGGTGCTCAGAAAGAAAATATACATTGGTACCAATTTGCTCTTTAGTACATTTATTTCCCAGCTGGTCTGAATACAACAGACTCTGCAGCTAAGTTATTCGAACCTAAAATACTGAAATAAAGTTTGACTCAAAACTGGAATGTTAGGTTTAAGTTACGTGAGGGCTAATCCTGTTCCTTACATCTATTAATGACATGCACGTATCACGGCTAATGAGACGTTCACTGACTCTGTTAATCCCATGCTTACTCATGCCTCTGTTTACCTCCTGACAGTGGTGGATCAGTAGCCCCTCCAAAGGGTCACCAGACTAATCTGAAGGTCGTGAGATGATTGATAACAAAGCTCTGATAACCACTTTTTTTTCTCTCTAAGTTTTAGTTTTTTTGTCAAAAATAAGATCATTTGACACACACACACACACACACACCATTAAGCGATATATGTTTTACCAACAATGTTGGGTTTTCCAGTCAAATTGATTCCTTAGGCTATTGTACTGGGAGTAGCTCTCTCTACGGCCCCTCCCACCCCACAGGCCCCAGTGCAACCACTCTGCCTGCCTATTTCCACGCCCTGGTCAGTGCACTACCTCCAGTAGATGACGGTCAGCATGCCATCTGCTGTCGGTAATACACTGACTTTGGAAAAGTACCTCATACAGCCTGACTTCAAAACATTCAAACTATCTATTTAATATCTGAAACGTAAACTATAACTGTCAAATAAATGTAGTGGAGCAAAAGCTACAGTCATTTCCATTTCCATTGAAATGTAGTGGAGTAGAAGTATAAAGTAACATACAATAATATTTAAGAAAAGTACAATCTCAAAATTGCACATAAGTGCTGTATTTGAGTAAAGGGACTTAGTCTCCACCACTGCAAGTGATGCACTTTAAAGCACCTGTTTATTGTCGATTGTTACTATCACTACAACTACCATAAGCACATCTCCATCTTGTTTCAGGCCCTATGTTTACGCCATGCACTCTGAACAACCGGACACATACGGACACAAAATGGGGCCCATGAGCGCAGAAGTGAGTATTGTGTAAATGCATCTGTGCTTGTGTGTCGGGATGTGTGCGTTTGCACAGAAAGCGCATGTTAACTGTACACATACACACCCCTATAGTGTCTCTCTGTGTGTATTGTTTATCAAAACACACACACAGTGGGTTCTCACTCCCTTTCTGTGTTTCAGTTGAACAACCCTCTGCGGATGATTGACAGGATTGTCGGCCAACTGATGGATGGACTCAAACAGATGAAACTGCACCGCTGTGTCAACATCATCCTGGTGGGGGATCATGGTACACACACACACACACACACACACACTGTGGTGTAAGGTCATCATGCTGGAAGAGCACATTACATGCATGCTCCACTGAAGCAATTTAGGACGAAGTGCTTTGCTCAAAGGCACACGTCTTAAATACAGAGACAATCGCACACTCAATTCATTATAGGTTTCACCAGCCAGCCACTCATTCCCCTGTGTGTTCTCAGGTATGGAGGAGGCCCACTGTGATCGCACCGAGTTCCTCAGCAACTACATGACCAACGTTGATGACATCATCCTCGTCCCCGGGTCTCTGGGCAGAATACGCTCGAGATACCTGAACAACCCTAAATGTGAGAAGAGCAAAGCTCGTGATATTGACTTTTTGCTGAGATATTTCATCCTCTTTTTCGTCCTCTTTTGTTTTGTCTTTGTCTTTTTCCCGTTCACGTAAGAGACACTACAGGCGAAGACATTGCTTTTTCATGCACGAGTCAATAGAAAGAAAACATCCAAAATGCACATTTAGGTGTTTATTTTACAACTTTGTCTCTTTTAGAGATATTGCCTCTTTTGCATATTCAAACACAACATTTCAGAAAACATGTAATGGAAAAAATGATTGTCTTGATGTAAGAAATCAACTGGGGAAGTTTTATTGTGATATCTATTAGTTATTTATATTATCAATGCAAACTACGTTGTATTCAGAGCTTTTGCTCTGTAAGAACATCTTCTTCATCATCATCATCAGACACGACACAATAAGCCTCTGATGTGATCATTGGCAGCATGCACAGTAATTACAGTGGCTACTGAGCGATGGAACAACTTCACCGCATTTTATCTTGTCCTTTTGAAATAGACGTTTCTGTCTACATTTATTTGTCCTACTAACCCACTTCTCACAAGTTGCAGTTCATTCATTTTTTTTATTAAAGTCCATTGTTAAGATATACAGGACAGTATGTTTCTTTTGTTGGACTTAACAATTTTCACTAGTCTGACCATTGTTCTTTATTTCAGATGACGCCAAGGCTGTTGTTGCAAATCTAACAGTAAGTACTCGGCTTGCATGAAAAATGATTGAACTTGTGTGAACTTACTGATAAGATAAGATACGATAAGATAAGATAATCCTTTATTAGTCCCCCAGTGGGGAAATTTACAGGATCACAGCAGCAAAGTGGAGAGTGCACACAAGATACAGAGTAAAAAACAAGAGCAACAATTAATACAAATAAGTAATAAACAGTAAAGAATATCAACTAAGTAAAAAAGTACAAAAATCCACAATGACTAAAAATAAAACTATTATATATACAGACAGAGTATTTTTTTTTTTATTGCACAGTGTACTTATATTGCACAGATTGTTAGTGTTGTGTGGTCTACTGGGAGCACAGCTGGTTGTGCAGCCTGACGGCGGCAGGAAGGAAGGACCTGCGGTACCTCTCCTTCACACACCGGGGGTGAATCAACCGGTGGCTGAAGGAGCTGCACAGAGCTGCCAGGGCATAACAACGATGTTAGAAAAAGGTGGAATGAATTAAAAGCAAAATCATAAAAAATAGTTTTGAGCTTTCTCTTAAAACTATCAACAGAAGTTGCCAAATGACCTCAGGGAACGGTTAGCAACGTACTCCGATCAGCAGTCGGAGTGGCAGGAAGCTGCTAAACCATTCAGAGCCTTAAAAACAAGTAAAAGAATTTTACAATAAACCGTTAATGTTGTTATAATATGTTATGTAATACGTTCTCTTTAATTCATTATTGTTTACATTCTCGCTGTTGATTTTGTACAAGTTGCAGCCTATCAATGTTTATTAGGTAACCCAGTATAGAGTGTATTGCAGTAATCTAGACGAGATAATATACAAAGGCATGGGTCAACCTTTTGGCATCTTCCAAAGAGAGGAGGGGTCTAACTATTGCAATATTTCTTAAATGATAAAAAGCAATCTTTGTAACGTTGTTGACATGTGATTTAAAATTCAGCTCAGAATCAAGAAAAAACAGTCGGGCTTATTCTGTAGAGCTGGACTTCCACATTGGCTTAATATCTTTTCTCTCTGTGCATTTGTACAAGTTATATTTTAAAAAGATAATTATGCTATTGTAGCATGTATTTGGTGGAGCATACTGAGTGGTGTGTCACCTCTCTGATTGGCTCCTATAGGATCAAAATACCAATGATTGTTTCTTTGTTCCAGTGTAAGAAGGCAGACCAGCACTTTAAGCCGTACTTGAAGCAGCACCTGCCTAAGAGACTGCACTACGCCAACAACCGGCGCATAGAAGAGATTCACTTGCTAGTGGAGAGGAAGTGGCACGTTGCCAGGTAAAGTACTACCTCTACTACAAGAAGTAAGAACACATGCATGGTGTTAAAAGCTAAACTGGACAACTGTAAAAACTGACACTCCTTTCAATATGCCAATTGGAGATACAGTACAAACTAGACAAGTGCTCTCAGTGAAGTGCAACGACCCCTGCTGTAATGTTTGATTGACACAGCACAAACCACAATTGCCCCCCCATCTTGACTGAAAGTGTATCAGGCGCATTTTCATCTCACGCAACAGATACGCTTCCATTTGAATTGATGAGGCTGTCTGCACCGCTCCATGCAGCTGAACTGCAGTTCACTGTGTCACGCTTTATGTTGACTGTTTAATGCTTCCTCTGAACAGAAACTGTCAGTCCTGTTGTGTGATTAGTTCCGTTAGCTCTTAGCTCTGTTAGCTGTATTAGCCTTGTTAGCTGTTAGCTCTGTTAGCTGAACACACAGCAGGACTCTGATGACCACTGGCTGCTAACAGCTAAATAGCTAACCTCCCACCGACATGAGAAGACACGCTACGTTGTAGTCAGTGCTTGGTTTAGTCTGTGATTTGCTAATTGCTGACGCTAATGACGGTATAAAACAGTCAATAAAATATTTAGACAAAAAAAACGTGTTTTCAAAAAGTTTGAATCACTGCAACCACGGTGGGTGCTGCTTGAGCATGAATGAGCTGATTAAATATAGGGCTGATGGGAGTATGGGAGACAGACACAGGGATGGAATCACGCACACACAGGACCGAATATATGATCTCCTGGCGGAGATAATAAGCACATGAGAAGTTCACTGAGAGCACAAACACAGACATCCACCAAAGTGTTGAATGGAATAAATCAATCTTAAATGTTTCAGATTGAAGATGTATGCAGGAAACTGGAAGAATAAACTCTGATGACACACTTTCCACCTCCACTGTGAAACCCAGAAATGTGGGCTGAGATATATCTCTCTTCACACCTTTGACCTGTAACTGTATAACATGAGACCCAACTTAAAATATGTGTGATAACACCAGGAATACAAGAAAGCTTGTCTCATACTGACTATTCTAATTGTGGATGTATTATTGGAACCTTTGATGAAGTTCACAGATTAGGTGAAGCCATGGTCTCTCATTTAACCCTTTGCATCATTCACTCCTTCTTCTTAGAGCCATAACTCAAGGACACACGCACATCATATAAATACTGCAGGAGTCAGTGACTTACTATCAATTATTATTATAATACATGTTCATCTGCCTGCGTATCATGAAAAAGGTGCTCCCTCTAACTTCTTTATTAATTATTTGATAATTAATAGATAAGTTAGAAGTTCTAGCTAATTTGGTTTTAATTTGTTGCTGGAAGTGCTCTAATGTTGTGTTCAGTCAGTGTAAGTACGTACGTGGCATTTTCAGCCCACCCGTCAGTGAGGCTTTTTACTGCACATCTTGCTTTACTTAAAAACACATTTTATGCTAACGTGGACTGCTATCGACGCATCATTAACACGTGTAGTGCTGAAAAGTTTTAAGATGTCCCGTTCAGAGCCACACTAGTGTTAAAAAAAACAGAAAAAAACAGCTCTTTTTCAAAAGTGCAGCTGCTGAAACGTTGATGACAAGCTAAAATGAACTCTGACAGCCGTTTGATGTAGAGCAGCGAAAAGTCTTGCTGCAGTGATTCAGTGACAAAGTAAACCATGAAGTCATCAGGACTGAAAGAGAAAACAAACCACCTCGCTGTGTGTGTGTGTGTGTGTGTGTGTGTGTGTGTGTGTGTGTGTGTGTCAGAGTAACAGCCTCCTTGCATGGAGCTGTCATGCTGTTTTGGGTTGGTGAACCATGGGAGAGCTACATTCTGTCTCAGTACACACACACACACACACACACATATACATACACACTACACGCAGAGCTGCTAAATGAAAGACATCTTTGAGGTTTCAGTGCAGCTCAGATAGACAGACGGGTTAATCGTTGGCACCGGAGCTTTGAGCAGAGTGTCTGAGCATTTACACACACGCACACACTTGCACACACACACGCACACACTTGCACACACACACACACACACACGTGCACACACACACACACACACACACACACACAGGCACATATACTGTATGTAAGACGATGTCTGCGTAAATCTCAAACCAACTAACTGTTCTCCAAATGAAACACCGAGTTTGTCTCATTTTCCTGTCAGTTAGTCATTTACATTTTTAACATGCTTGTGGCTTCACCCCCTAGACACGCACACACACACACACACACACATCCACACATAAATTAAGATGTATAACTGGAAGTAGTGTTTTAATGGACACTTAGTTAAAAGTGCCTGTTTTTCAATTAGAGGACTCTGGCTTGGGTTGTGTGAAGGAGTGCTTGTCCTGGACCGAGGGCTAAAGTAGGTGAATACTGACAAAATGCTGCAGTTCAACTGTATTTAACACCACGGTTTAACCCGTAAAAACCTGTGTGGACCTGACAGCGCACTGCATCAGGTACTTCTAAACCACCTCTGAGGTTAATGTAACGATGTTCAGTATTTCAGTCAGAATTGCTTTCTCCACTTTGACCCCAGATTTCTATCATACTCAATAACATTTGAAACTTACTGCCTTAAGAGAAAGAACCATAGACTGTCTATATATATGGTATATATATGTAAGAAGTGGACGTAGTCACCAAGTCATCACCCATTGGTTTATCGCTATCTTGGTTTCTGACTGTCGCCATCTTGGTTTTTTTGCAACCAGAAGTGACGCGTAAAGGTGGAGCTTAGTACAACTGAATGCTGAATAAGACATTTGTAGGCGACCGAAAAAATTTCATGAACTGAAAACAAAGGGTTAAAGTTGTAAAACGAAAACGTAGACAACTCCACACTGGACACCACCATGGTAGTGACCTGTCAATCACAGTAGCCCCGCCCTAAAGCATACTCTGCTTTATGGTCTGTTTGACTCTAAATGGACCATAATGTACTAAATGAACATCATGGTGTATTGAAGAAGACTTGAAACTAGAGATTGAGACCATAAACTTACAATGTTTACTGAGGTAATAAATCAAGAGAGAAGTAGAGTCATTTTCTCATAGACTTCTATACAACCAGAGGAGTCGCCCCCTGATGGCCATTAAAGATAATGCAAGTTTAAGGCATATATTTAGGTCTCAGCAATCCTGAATATTTTTTTCATAGATCCTCAAAGTTCAAGATTGTAAATTTTCTAAAAGTTGATCTTTCATTCTCCTACTTGATTGAACTGATTTGACCACAGTTTGGTTCACATGACTGATGAGTGGCCATCTTTAAGAGTTGCCAAAAGAAACTTGAATACAACAAATTAGCTGAGCAGCAAATAACAGCGGTATAAAACAAAATTGGTTGGTGTGGTATGCAATATTTTAGCTTTTGACTTGTGACTTTTGCTGCCAAAACTTTCTCGGTCATCTGACACAATAATCTGAACATTCCAGCCAGTTCTGGTTGATTGATTGATTGATTGATTGATTGATTGATTGATTGATTCATACTGTTCATTACAGGAGAGTTCCTGAAGGCAAGAGGCACTGTGGCTTCTCTGGTGACCATGGATATGACAATAAAATCAACAGCATGCAGGTACTCTTGGTAATCTACAGTGGCATGAAGTTGTTTTCTGGCTGGCTTTTTATGTCCAGTGCAGCAGCACAAATTAAACATTGATGATGACCAGATGTCCAAAAATTAGACTTAACCTGTGTTTTGTTTGTTCTAGCCTAATAAAACAATAAATACTGATAGTTGTGAAACATTATTTGTTATGTCCGTAGCCTACAGTAATTAATTGTCATTTTTTAGCCGTGTACAGTCCTGCAGCAAATTGATAAACAACTAGGCACAGCAGAGATGCATAGCAATGATGTTGTTGAATGAACACATTTACTGATAGAAATTAAACCATCCATTGCTGACATGGAGCACGATGAACATCCAGACAAAAAGCAAAATTGTTACTGCAGGTACCGGGTCGAGTGGGGGGGAGGGGACCGATTATTGCTTCCGAACGAGATCCGAACGTAATGTTTTGTAAAGCTGCAGGAAAGAATACTACTATTATTATCGCTACTGTTCGCTGACACTGAATGTAATGTACTGGAGGTCACGCCCACCCCCAGTTTCAGCCATTCTCATCTGGTCACCCTAATTCTAACTTATTTCTTGTGACAAATCGTTTGACTTGTGCCATCAACTCTCATTTTCAGACTATTTTCTTGGGGTACGGACCTACATTTAAATTCAAGACTAAAGTTCCAGCCTTTGAAAACATTGAGCTTTATAATGTCATGTGTGGTAAGGCATTGTTTTATTTAGTTATTGTGTGCATGTCTATGACTCTAGTCATCTAGGACTAGCCAAAATGTGTTTGAATGAATATGTGAGTAGACTAGTCACAACATAAGTGGTGTTGTATGTGTGACATCCTCCACTAATTCGTTTGGCTGACATGAAGCTGATTTCTCCTGCTCTCAGATCTTCTGGGTCTGAAACCAGCCCCCAATAATGGAACCCATGGCAGTCTGAACCACCTGCTGAGAAGCCCCACCTACAGGCCCACCATGCCAGAAGAGGTTTCGAGGCCGGCAGCCTCTGGTCTTGGTCCGGCAGGAACAGACGACCTGGGCTGCAACTGCGAAGACAAGGTCAGCCATGATGACTCAGTGGCAGACCCGGGCCCGGCTTCCTGTCCACTGCTGAAAAGAATATTAGTTTTTAGGAGATTGGCTTGTCTGTCAAGCTCACTTAGATTAGTGATAACAACAGTGAAACCAAAATCATTCTCATCTTCATAACCTGCCGCCATGGAACCCCACGCTAACACTATTCTAACACACCATAAATTAGTCAGTAAGTAATGCATGAAGTGTAAGCAGCTGTAAAGTTGAATAGTAATAAGTAGTTGTTATGATAGCAGGTAGTAAATGGTATGCGCCTAAAGGAAAAATCTAGTCCATACAACTTCTGATCTTCTAATATTCATAGGTTTGAACATTGGTTCAATGGTTTTGACAGTATTGTATTCACTAAAGTAACTGCTGAGTTCAAGTCTGGTAACACAAGTAACTCAAAAGGATCAGAACTCTATGAGAAAATGACTCTACTTCTCTCTTGATTTATTCCCTCAGTAAACATGAGTTTATGGTCTCAATCTCTAGTTTCAAGTCTTCTTCAATACAGCATGATGTTCATTTAGTAAGTTATGGTCCATTTAGAGTCAAACAGACCATAAAGTAGAGTATGCTTTAGGGCGTGGCCAAGATGGAGACAGCCAAAATGCCGTTTGTAGTCCACAAACCAATGGGTGACCTCACGGTGACTACGTCTACTTCTTATAGACAGTTTATGGTTCACACCTGGTATTAGAATGTGTCTCCGCTCTGGAGTGATCGCATGTGATCGGATCTCACTTTGACATTACATTACAGTCATTTAGGAGACGCTTTTATCCAAAGCGACTTACAATTCAGATTCTATGCTCTCTATGCAAATAAACACGTGCAAAGACCAAATGCATTGTTGTTCTTAACCAGCGGGAGGCAGCAATGCACTTCCAGTGCCTTAAAGTTAAAAGTCAAAACTAAACTAAAGAAGAAATCAAAACAATACAGCATGGGCCCTCGTGAATAGCCCAGTTGTTATATTAATATATTAATCTCTCAGTTTCCTTTGAACTGACTGAAATAGAAATCAGACAGCATGTTTCAATGCGCCCTCAATGTGTCTTGGGCGCGTTCCCAACTGTACTTACAGCTGTTAATACCAGGTGTGAATAGGGTCATAATGAGTACAATTACAAAAATAACATGAAAGCTGTAATGTTCTGGAATTATCCTTTAAGTCGGAAACTTATAGATATAATATATATGACATTGGTAAGATTTCTAAACGATCAGTGGAAACACTAGAAAAGCAGTGTATTTTGGCCTGATGTTAGTGAGAATGAATGTCGCTATGCATAGTGTCGTATAAATTGTTGGCATGGGGCACTGAAATGATTGGGGATACATGGATACTTTTGGTATTGATTGCATAATATATTGTAGGTAAGTTGATTAACAAGCCAATCTCCAAAAATGACACCGTATTACTTTAATGTGACGATAAAGATAACGTTTTGAGTCCATGCAACAAGGCAGTTTTGCTGTGATGACCATACATCTGTAACACATGTGATACTGTCACCGAGCCCTCAGTTATTATCTTACAGCGTATAGAAACAATAAAATACTTAAATGTAAGTAAAACTGCCAGTCAGCATGTTTTCAAAAAGTTACCCGTTTATCATGACCTCTTGGGGTTGCACCTTATGTTACAGCTCTCTCTTCCTGTGAGAGAGCTGCACAGTCAATTAAGAATTATATGATGCTTAATTGATTCCAACGGGCCAAACTGGACCCTCACATAGTTCAACAGAGGATGACTAATGTGACTGTGTTGCCGACCAGAGGCCAACCATTCTCCTTCTCTTCACTGTGTTTTACCTTGAGACCACTCAAGCAATGCTCAGTCTGCCTGTGTTCCTGCTGAGGCCTAGTCCACACACACAGGCATTTTTTTCAACAGTGTTTTTTAAACACTGCTTCAAAGCAGTGAGAGACTTGCATTGGAAAAGAAGCTTCTGTAACTCAGCGGATGAATGTCTTTGGGGGTACATCAACTTCCTACTATGAACACTTAAATATCTCTTATTTAGGTAGGTCCTAAAAGTTGTTAAATGCATAAATAGCGGAATCCAGAGTTATTTTCTTTCCTCCGTTTATGTGAATCCAGTGCTCTTAATACATACATGCATCTTCAATATATGTTTCACCCTGGCAGCAGTTTAACCTAAAATACTGTTGGGGTGTGAAGCCAAAACACATAAAAAAGGCTGTGTTTTTTTTTAAATACCCGCGTACGTGTGGACTAAGCCTCAGTAACATTGTATTTATGTGTTTTATTTTTTGTGCTTATTTAACAGAGACAATGCACTATACATGTATTGCACCAGATATAGCTAAAAGCTCATTTACATCTGTAGTCCCTAAATTACAAATCTGGTATTTTCATAATATTTTACAGATATGAGGGAGCTAAAAGGAACTATCTACCATCCCTCCATTCAGTCCAATGACTGTAATGTCCAATGATCTTTAGATTGAGACGTGATGAGAAAGATGAAGCATCAGAGGATCAGTTGCTTTATCTTATTGTGATCTGTTGACTTTTCTTGGATACTAAAAGTACAACTCAAACTTCATCACTGTCTGCTCTGAAGAGTCTTTAGTCGTCGTTATTTTTGTTGTATTGTTACCTTTTTTTAAATTAGAAATTGTGCATAAGCAGCAGTACATTCACCAAACATGGCTCAGCAAGTGACTGAATGCAGATGTTGTCTTTTTTTTTTTTTTGTTAAAAAAAAAAAACGTTTTTGTTTTGCTTTTGAAATGCAGTTAACGTTGTCTTTTTACACAGCAGACCTGTAAAAAGATTAATTTGCATGGGCCTATCAGCCTCAGTTAATTTATCATTTGTTTGGTCTGTCTGTCTGTGAGTGTGGGAATGAGCCTGTTTGACTTGTAAAAAAAAGTATCTTAATATCTGATTGCTTTGTTGTGTCTTCGGCCCGTGGTTCCACTTCTCCTTACAATGTGACTTTTGTCCTGCGATCGTGCCAGGACACATCCGACGCCCTGAAATCGGATCTTGCTCGCATTGGGATCCGATCAGCCAGACCACCTGCCGAGGTGTCCGGGCTCTCATTGAGTTTATCACCGACTTTAAAACAAGTCTGCAGGGAGGCAGAGTAAGAGGCAAAAAATAACAGGAGACTTTTCTTGTGAAGAATTATAGGAAAGGGAATGTGTTTATTCACCGCTTTAAAGCCGCTCCTTTGACACATATCCATCCCTCTATAGATCAGGCACCGTTACATTGAAATGTCAAGTGTGGACACAGAGTGCCGATCTGGTGCATCTGATCACAAAAGTCACATTGAAAAGACAAAGTGTCATCACGGGTCTCTATTCAGCTTCCTTAAGAACGTAAAGAATCATGTTACATCTTTGCTTTCTGCTGCAGAGCTGGACTCGGTTCACCTCCAAGTCAAGCCATTCAAACTAAATCTGTAGATAACATGCCAACAAAAAGGCAACCTCTCATTCCATCAAGGTCTAATGTTGACACTTGACGCCCTTCTCGGTCTAGACGCAGTCTGTGTATTTTTTGAGATCTACTTCCCGAATAGCTTGGATTGTGAGTGAGTGAGACCCAGCCCTTCTCTGCAGTGTGTCACTTTGTGCTGTGTTTTTGATTCCCATGAAGATCTCTGGCAAGAGATTGTTTCAATCTCCGATCTTTTTGCAGTTGCGTGTAAAAAGTAGGGGCCAGAGAGGTTTGAAAGTGACCCTTGTACGAGGCTATAACCTGGAGTCACTCTGGCTCTGTCTCTTACAGAACAAAGTGGAGGAGTTAAACCAGCGACTGAGGCGAGCTATGGATGGTCAGTCTTTCACGATGTTACTGAAAATATCATTTTGTATATGTAAACTTGTTTAAATTGTAAAAATACAGTAAATTATCCACCGTGTCCCGAGTAAACCTGCATCATGATCCTATCCACACAATGATGCGTCACGTGTTGCTGTTCTATCACCTCGTAAATAGTTTTGTAAATGTGTTTCGTCCCACATCTCTGTTTTGCCCCCCGCCCCCCCATGCTCCCCCTCTCTCAGACAGCAGGAACTTGCCGTACGGCCGACCTGCTGTACTCTTTCGTACCAAGTACTCCATCCTCCACCACAGTGACTACATCAGCGGCTACAGCGAGGCGCTCTCTATGCCTCTCTGGACGTCATACGCCGTCAGCAAACAGGTACTCTTCATCCTGTGCTCTTCGCCCTGAAGGACGTTAGTGTGAATATTAACTGGCAGCAAAGGCACCTCATTCAGAGGACAGCATGCCAGATGCTGTAGTGGAGTTTTAGTCTTAATCACCAATAGAAACATCACGACTCTTCTTTGATTGGGGCTTACATAAATACAGCGCTATTAAGACTATGAAGACCCTCTAAATATGTTCATATTTCCCATAATACTACAGTGGCCACACTCATTATTTCCAACGATGTATAATATAATGTATTTAAAAGAATTAGGGTGACACACTAGCTCAAGTTGATCTTGCATTCATGTTTAAAAATGACTTACTTGTAGTATATTCTCAGTAGAATATTCTGTCTTCCATCATATGAGCTTAGTCTGTCCTCATAACATATGAAGGGATCCTAGAGGCTGTGAAAGAGTCGTGTTGATTCCCCCCCGATAGCATATGTAAAGGCAGAGTCTCAGCTAATTCAGAAACCTATTTGTTCATACTGGGCCTACAAACCTTTTTCCATTATAGCAATGACTCTTTTGGCCAATAAAGGATATTCATAGCCTGATATGAAAGGTTCTGGGTCTAGAGGAATTTGTAGGATTAATATAACCTGGATACAATCTCTCACTGCTTCTCTGAACTTTTTTATCTCAGTACACTGCCAAAGACGGTGAAAACGTGTACCTTTAACCTTTTCACACTTGATACATATTGATTTAAAATGTTCTGGGGTGTATACTTTTGCATCGGCCAATTAGACGGAAGTAATTTAAGCCTTGTGTCGTTGGCTGTTATATGTCTCTCGTTGGCATGTCTGAACCTTCTAACAGCTATTGGCCAAGTGGTCTCAAGTTGTAATCGACACATCTGTGTGTCACATGCCAAACTGTTACATAACTCATCTTGTTTGACTAAATGTACTTGTTACTAATATTCTTTTACGATGTGCTTGAAGATGAAAGGATTATCAGTGAAGTTTTAAGACATGAAAGTATTCCAAGAGCAGTGGAGGATGTGGCTCGAAGCTACAAACGCACAATTTCACAAATGCCCTCTGTCCTCATGACATCTGATCACATGACTGTTAGTTGTTTTTAATCCTAACATATCTGTTTTGTGTTTGTTTTCTACTTGTTACATACAGTATATGAAGCAATTTATTCCCTCCTCCATGCCATCTTTCTCATCCACCAGACAACCGAAAACCACCCACAGTTTAAACTAGAAGTCAGCTGACCTCTGACCTCTCTCTTTCTGTATGTGTGTGTGTGTGTGTGTGTGTGTGTGTCTGTGGTCCTCTAGGTAGAAGTATCCCCTCTGCCTGAAGCCCTGTCCAACTGTGTGAGACCTGATACCAGAGTTCCTCCAGCCTACAGTCAGTCTTGTACCAACTACCGAGCAGACATACAGATCACCTACGCCTTCCTGTACCCACCACGTGAGTTCATCACAACAGCGCAGACACTGAATTACACTAACAAAACTAAAAAGGTGCACTCATTACAGTGCAGATCTCTGCCAGGTGCGTCTGCAACGACCACAACAAATCACAATTGTCTAACCCCCAGTCTAGACCGCAAATGTGTCAAAAGCATTTTTAACACAAAAATGATAAGGCTGATGGGTCCAGTAATATGCGAGATTCGCCGTGGACAGACAGACAGACAGACATACACAGAGCGCACACACACACACTACCGAATACATGGTCTCCTGTCGGAGATAATAAAATGGATAATTTGTAGCTTGTTAATTTTCATGTTCATGTTCAATTGAATATTTGTGGTCTTGGACTATTAATCAGACACATTTTTACTCAGATAATTGCCATAAGCTTTTGTCATTTTATCATATTTTTTATTTTTTACATTTTTACAATAAATGATTGTAATGTATTGAGAAAAATAAAATGTCCGTTATTGTAGAAATAATCATTAGTTAATTTGATATGTTGGCTCATATTATTTTATGTTTTAAACTAAGACACTCATAGACCTTATGCTGGCTGTTTCATACACATATTCACAGTCTGGGTCTTATTGTTGCTCATCATTCCTATCCGTTATATTAACAATTTACTCACTAACGATATTGCTGAGATCTAACGATATTACTGCACCTCAAATCATTGTTATGATCCACGACGGCCGTGGCTGGAGGCATCATGTATTTGGGTCGTTTGTCCCATTCTCATGAACGCATTATCTCAGGAATTTTCTCTTCTCTTAACTTGGTGGTCAAAGATCAAGGTCGATGTGACCTCATGTATTTGGCCAGAGTTCAAGAATTTATATGCTAATAATGATTACAATTTTACTCAAATATTTAGTAGGAAAAAATGACATATTGTAATTTAAACTGTAATTTGACTGGTTGGTGAAGGCATATTATTCTAGTTAATCATGTTCTGTTTTTTTCATTATTGACAGAATTCTCCACCACCATGGACAAAAAATATGATGCTGTCCTCATCACCAACACCGTCCCCATGTATCCTGCATTCAAGAGTAAGTCAATCAGTGATTCAAAGTTTCTTCAAGGGCCAGATGCTTGGAGCCCCGTTGGAACCTTGTATGTTGTGAATTAGAAAAACAAAAACCAAATCAGTGCGGATGGATTCACTGATATATTCACCGCTTTTCTGTACCTTCTATCACCTCCCATCCCATAGTCCCTGTTTCATTCTCTCGCTTTTGTTCTTTCCCCTCTCTTCCACCTTCCTCTCTCAGGGATATGGAGTTACTTCCAGAGAGCGCTGGTGAAGAAATATGCCACTGAGAGAAATGGAGTGAATGTGCTCATTGGACCCATATTTGACTATGACTACGATGGTGTCAGGGACTCCGCTGAGAAGATAAAAGAGTAAGAGCATTCTATTTACCCCCCTTGTAATTCAGCTTCAATACACACGAAGGTTAAATTTATGATGAGCATTGTTTATGGAAAAAATAGGAAGAAAAAAATGATTCCTGGCTAAGGGGAAATGTTGAGCTCAAGTCTCTTGTTCCTGCAGGTACGTAAGTGGGGTGATACCCGTCCCCACGCACTTCTTCGTGGTCCTGACCAGCTGCTTAGACTTCACGCAGGCTGCAGACTCGTGTAGCGGCCCGCTCAGCAGCGCTGCCTTCATCCTGCCGCACAGAGCCAGCAACGACGAGACCTGCAACGTAAGGAACATCGCGTCTTAAAACGCATCACCACATTTTAATAACACTCGTATACATACACTTGATAGAGACCTGGGGCTTCATTACAAAAAGTCTGAAATCCTATCTCATCTCAGTTGAGGATGACATTGAGGATTTTTGGTATACAGAAAGAAGTTTCCTAATACATTTATGAAAAAATCTATCCATCTTATCTGAGGATGGGAATTTAGCGATTACAGATTTGTCCCTACTTAGGGATTCCCAAAGTTAGGAATCCTAAGTAAGGATGGCATAGACCCTGTCCTAAATGTTGTTAGGTCTGTATGGCTGTGACAGTGAAGATGGGGAATAACATGACGACTGAAATATGATGATTGAAATGCTGCTGAGTCCATAGTATGACACTTTAAATTTCCCAGCCTATGTATTAATCGGCATTAGTCTTACCAAAATACTGACATTTCTGTCTTCAAAACAATACCTTTAAAAATATTGATATTTGATGCTATTTTCGATACCACTGAGAAACATTAAGGGGATACGTTTTAAGATTCTAATTAAAAGATAAATAGCGGTCTGTGCGTCGCCTCGCTGTCTAGTCTAGCTCCGTATAGAATGGAAACGGGGATACAGCTATTATTTATCTCAATCTTCAGTTGAAACAGAATAAACTTTATTTTGTATAGCATATCTTTATTGATTTTTAACATAATATATCCCATTTTCCTAAATTGGTTGGATGCGTTGGCAACTTTTGGAGAAATGCAACCCAACAACCTGTGATTGTGGCCAATCACATAAGCAGCGATCCAGTGTTGTGAAACCCAACATTAAAGCCACGTTTGGCTTTAAATACGCCATTAAGTGACACAACGCCACACAGCCCTGCGCTAACTGCCTCAACGCCTGATTTGGTGTGAATGCAGCCTAATTTACACCAAAACGTTTTTAGTTTTTTTTTGTTTGTGTGGAGACCAAACAGACAGACATGTTATTAAGTTAGCTTTTAGACATAGACAGGCTAGCTGTTTCCCCAGGGCACTACTTGCATTATTTTTAATGGCCATCAAGGGGCGACTTCTCTGGTAGCAAAAAGAAGTGTGATTGTATAGAAGTCTATGAGAAAATGAACCTACTTCTCACTTGATTTATTACCTCAGTAAACGCTGTATCACTCCTCCGCCGTCCAATTATGGTCACTTCCATTCACTTGATTGCAAAAAAAACAAGATGGCCACAGCCAAAATCCAAGATGGCGATAGCCAAAATGCTGAACTCAAGGATTTAAAACCGCAGTCCACGAACCAATGGGTGACGTCACACCGACTGCAGTCCATAGTTTTTATACTAAGCTAGGCTAACCAATCCCTGACTCCAGCTCTGTACTCACAAACATGAGAGTGGCATAAGTTTTCTCATCTCACTCTCATGACAATACAAACTATGTTCCCTCAAAGCCAAATCACTTGGGGGTTGTGAGCGACAGAGGGTTTCAGGGTCCGTAGAGGGGAAGGAGGTGGCTAACGTTTCTGTGCTCCTCGCTGCCTCCCCGCAGAGCTCAGAGGAGGAGTCTCGCTGGGTGGAGGACCTGATGAAGATGCACACGGCTCGAGTCAGAGATGTGGAGATCCTGACGGGCTTGGACCTGTACCGCAGAACGACCCGGAGCTACGCCGAAATCCTCTCGCTCAAGACCTACATGCACACCTACGAGAGCGAGATCTGACATCCGCTGGCCCCCTGTCAACACTGATGTTGCTGATTCCTTTTTTCCAACCGTGGTGGATGTATGTGGTACAAAGAAGAGGTGCTATCACCTCTGTTACACTGACCTACACCAGCTCTTCATGCTCTCGCTGTCTGCTCTCGCTGCCGTGTGCAGCTGCTCCGTTGTGGCCCTTTCACTGGGCATCTGGTTTCATCTCATTCATCTCGTCCATCTATTAAGACACAGCATTGAACACCACTGAGGCTGAGCTACTAGCTGTAGCACTGTCCACTTTATTTTGTTTAGTAGCAGGCAAGTAAAGCAATTATTCTGCTCTGTGCTACTGTTTCATGGTCGGCACTCAGATTCAATGGAATGACATCAAAATGAACAACATTGACCTAAGTGAGTAAATATATAAAGGGCTCAAATTGAATCTGTACCAGTATTTTTTGTCATAATGTGTAAATAACAGAGAGGCCATTAATCTTCATCTGCCCTCTGTTTACTTTAAATCGTCTTTAGCAGAAAAGTTTTATCTCCAGCAGTACGGCCGGGTCGACCTGTTAGTGGAGTTTTCTAGAACAGCTGGATTTTTTTACCCAGAGACCAAGAAACCCACACTAATCCTATGCTGGAATATTAAAGGACACCAGTTTTAGGGGCAATTTGATTAAAAGCAGCTTTATTTTCAAAAATGCATCATTGTAGCACAATGTAAAATGATGAGTCTTAAAACTAGGATTTGATGTCGGGCCCTAGTACAAGGCAGGACCACAAGATCAAATAATAATGCAGGACTGATTGCCCTGTATACTCTTACATATTTTGTATTAATTGTCATCGTCCAGCAGTACCAAGAACAGTTTTTGAGTTTTTTGTTTTGTTTTGGTAATACACATTTATATTCTTCTCAAGCAAACAATATTCCATATGTGTAAAAATTATGTTTTAATGTGTTTGAATGATCTTTAATTGCACTACGAAGCCATTAACAGAATCCGTCAGACAAAACCATCACCTCAGTGCCAAGGCCGGATTGTTAAACATTTTCAGTTGCCTAGCAATACGACATTGATCCACTCTGTCTACTCTTTACACTATGAACAGATTATGTTCAGTGATTAAGAAGGAATCGTCTTTATTTTTTTAATGAAATGATTATGCAATGGTTTTTTTTGTGTGCGTGTCTGTGCATGTTTGTGCATGTGCGTGCGCATGTATACAGTGTGTATATGTTGAATTCAAGATATTTCCTGTTCGTGTTTGACTGTTGATTGTGTTTGTGTGTGTTTGTGTTTGTGTGTGTGTGTGTGTTGACTTTTTGTTCTGTGCATGAAAGCAATAATGTCAGTGATGATGTATTAATGTGTTCTAAAACATTTACCACCTGTGAGACCTATTTATGATTTATGTAAATGTCATCACAATAAACAAGTGTTTTTACTAAATGAAGTGTGTTGCGTATTGAAGTTAGTCCAGCTGCTTCTTAACTCTGTCTTCCAGTTGTGAGCCACACATGTAAATAGGAGGGGAGTCCCGGGTTGGTTGGCACACAAAAACATGTTGGCTTTCTTGACTTGCCTTCATCTACTATGTTAAATCATCTGAAGGGCACTAACTTTGTGGGTGATGATAAACATGTCTTTCATAGTTTTATAGTATTGAAAGTAAAAAAGTGACCAAATGTATTATAAAGCTGTGTGTATGGACATATTTGAAATATGTTGCTTCTAGTTAATAGACATAGGAATCAGCTAAATTTTTTATATAAGATTTGAAAGTCTGTGAAGAGTGATGGAAGGTGGCTAACATCATTTAATCACAAAGCTGGCTCAAATGTGAACAAGTTGGTTGGCACGTGTGTGCATTTTGGTTGTCGCCATCTTGTTTTTTTGCAACCAGAAGTAGGAGGGATGAGCTAAGAACAACCGAACGCTGAGTAAGAGGTTTTTAGGCAGCCAAAATGTTACAAATAACTTTCACGAACTGTAAACGCACTGTGAAAGGATTAAAGTTGTAAGATGAAAACACAGACAACTCCCAGTAGGGACAACACTGTGGCAGCGACCTGTCAATCACAGTAAGCCCGCCCTAAAGCATACCCTGTTTTATGGTCTGTTTGAGTCTAAATGGACCATCATTTACTAAATGAACATCATGCTGTATTGAAGAAGACTTGAAAAATAGAGATTGAGACCATACACTCACAGCTTAGTTACATTCTTACTGCACATAGCAGCTTCACATTCCTCCACATGAGCCTGTCAATAGTAATACACGATAAATGTCTGTCCAGTACTGCCACCTAGTGGACGCTCACTGGTAGAACTTGTTGCCAAAATAGAAAAACACAAACAAACTCCGATACTTGGGATAAACATGAGTCCAGGCGGCTTCACCGAATCAAAACAAGAAAAGTGCGTTCTCTGGAGACAATTATGTGACTATTGAGAACTTTAAATGACTGCTTGCTAAGCAGTCACACAGTAATGACAAGAGGTAGGTTAAATCAAGGCGGGGCACAAGAGTGTAGGTAAATGATATATAGGACGAGTAGAATCATAGTAGAAGATAGTCTGCTCTCTGTTCCTCCACCTAAATCTTTCTCTGTCTGCCAAAGCTGCTCCTCATTTAAAGTGAATGGGCTGTGTTTCGGTGATACTCTCGTGCGTAAAAACAGCCACGAGCCTTTTTTACGCGTGGAAACCACATAGGAATCATGGAGATACAGTCGGAAGGTGAATTTCATATAGATCATATGAAAAACAATCAAACATTGAATTTCGTTCTTTATGTTGTGTCTTTTATCTAAATGTCCTTGTTTCGCAATGATGGGCAGAATACTGTGGTGTATATTTCCCTTACACCGCAGCTCACTTTCATCTCATCCAGGAAAATCCTGGCCAGAATTTTGGATTTCATGGGTCCATGAGATGAGATGAAAATAATTCAGTAGAATTTTTCTTTTAATTTTCTTTTCATTTCCCCATTTTTTAGCGCTTCTGCAATTTCCATCTGATTTAAATGACACGTAATGCAAACCTGCACACGTGACACCTTTTTGTCCCCATACAAACCAACATAAACTGAGATTGAACTACCTTTAAAATTGCTCTTGGAAAAAATAAATAAAATAAAGTGAGGTGAGAATTTTAAAAAATGATAATCACACATGCAAATGGTACATTCTAAATGTGAGAGGATTTCAGTGTACATGAGAGTGACATTCAGTCTGGTAAGGACACAGCAGACATTTGCAGAGAACTAGAAACTAATAATCCCATGTTGGAATAATACTGACTGGCTCCAGGTTTTCTGCGTGTCAGTGACTAAGAGGTCATTTTATTAAATCACAAATGTATATAGGAATATGCGCTCATAGATCATACTATCAGCTAAAATAATAAAGCTCCTTTTAAAGTATTTTTAGGGCATTTTTTTCAATGTCTATAAAAGCACCTGTGAAAGCACACATAGTTCTGTCAAAATAAAAAAAAAAAGATTTATATTTTTTATAATCTTATTGTTGAAGAAAGGTGAAAAAAGCCTATTGTGATTTTAATTTCCACATTTCCGTGAGGACGTGAATGCAGCTTTAGCAAGTTACGAAATGACGCGTTGAATACTTTCGCTTCCTAAAACAGAGAAGGTCTGCGGACTGTTATTACCGGGTAGAGTACACAGAGTCACCCCGTGGTCACTTGTGATATCAACAAGAGTTACTTCCTTTTAACACTCGGCTTTTTATTGTTATTTTAAAGTAGCGTGTTGGTGTGTCCGCATCACCATGGTCGGACTCAATGGTCGGTAGGTAGCGTTATGTTTCCTCTGCGGGGTTTCTTTTATCCGGGCTAAATAAACCACAATAGTCGGAACACAGTTAATGTAACGTTAGCTAGCGCTCGTGACGCAACATGCAGCGGTTGTTTCAATATTTGTAACTTTGTGTTCGTCTGTTGTCATCCACATTATGTTCCTTCAACCGACTTTCTAAACTCAGAGAGAGAGACAGAGAGGAATGTGTGAGCCTCAACAGCTAGTTAATTAATTGTTACAAAGGAGTGGTTCGTTAATTAATGATAGCTGCTACCCGGTTCTTCTTCACTGAGGCCATAGGAACCATCAAAGAAAGATTAAGGAAACAGCTGGGGCACAAAAGAGGGAGGTTAGTGTACAAATTAACGTCTTTACTCGACGACTAGATCAATGTAAGATGTTTATAGCATTGATTTGTCAAAGTGATAAACCAGTAAACAACTGTTTGGGTATCTGCTGTGGTTAGAACGCTTTAGCCAGTACTAATGAGTGCTTTATAGACTATTCATGCATCACATGTCTCATGAGGATTCTTATTCAGTCGCCTAAAAATATCATCTGGACTCACCAAAACGCAGTAACCAATTTCTGCAATTCTCATTGTGAGTACAATTATAACACCTGTGATATCAGTGTAAACACTGTATCTATGAAGACCGCTGAGGCTGCTCTTACTGTCATTTGTGGATGCCTAAAATTGGATTTAAAGAGAGTTAGGGAAGGTGCTCAGATGGCTCACGATACAGTTGACCTGTCTTGTCGTCTGTAATCCCACACAGGTGACCGTTCGGCAGTAAATACAGGTGAGATGGAAGAAGCCAAGGCGTCGTGCCTTAACATCCTCACCTACCACAGGGAGCTGCTGGTATCCCGGCTGAGGAGTCTTCAATGCATCCTGGACAACCTGCTGGCCTGCGGCTTCGTCTGTGAAGAAGATGTTGAGATCGTACAGCGATCTGCCACCAAGACAGATCAGGCAGGACATCTGTTTAAAAATGTGTTTCATTGTTATTCATTTAAAAAAACAAATTAAATATATTCTTAGCTCTCTCTAAAACATGTTCTGGTTAAAAATAGAAAATAAAGTTGGACATTTTTGAAATGTTAACCAACAGAGACGTTCTTTGATGTGATCATTTTCTAGGTGCGCAAAATCTTGGAGCTAGTCCAGTGCAAAGGGGAGGAGGCCTGTGAGTACTTGATTTACATCATCTATAAAGTATGTGACGCATACATAGACTTCCAGCCGTGGTTGAGAGAGATCAACTACACCCCGAGCAGTGATGTAACGGCGATGACGGTGGTTAACACCGACCCCAGTAAGTAATACAGTCACTGATGCTGTTCTGTACGTCTGTACTGTATGTCGACTGTCTAGATGTTAGCAGGGTATGAACAGTTGTATTGTTGTGTTGTATTGTATTGCATCATACATAGAGGTGTTTCTGTCTTTCTGTCCGCTCCATTTACATCAATGAGTGAAAAATACCAAATTGCAAGAATAAATTTGACATTCTAAATGCTTAAATGGAAGAATGTATTCGTTGAGTCGTTATGCAAAACATTGTGTGATGAATGAAATTCGGATTACTGATTCTTTGATGTGTAACTACCATTGTAATGTTGAAATTGACGTTGGAGCTAATTTAATGCGCATGTGGCCCGATTACATTGTGAGGTAACAATGGAAACATTACGCACCTCAGGATGAAAGTGTCATCAAATGTCTGGGAAGATCTGTAGTCTTTTTTACTTATTTTATCAGATACATTTAGCTCATTTTAACATGAATGGTGGTGAATTGTGAAACAACAGCTCAAGTGAAAGCATGTTAAAAGCACTTCTCTCAACTTAAAGGAGACATATTAGGGTCATATCCAGGCTCATACTTTTATTTGGGGTTTTTAGCTTGTTTACATGCTTTTGGTGTTTTCTAACCCTTTATTGTTCTCATACTGTCTGTCTGAACATATCTGTATTCGCCCTCTGTCTGGAACACTCACAGTTTTATCGCCTGTCTCTTTAAGTCCGCCTCCAAAAAAGCCCAGTCTGCTCTCATTTGTCAGTGTTCATGGGACTTGCTTGTCTTGACTTGGGACTTGGGGAATTGCCTATCTTGATTTGGGACTTACCTGCTGTTGTGGCTTGGGACTTGACTTAGGAATTGTCTGTCTTGATTTGGGACTTACTTGTCTTGACTTGGGAACTTGTTTGTCTTGACTTGGGGACTTGAGGGCAAATAATTGAGTCTTACTTGTGATTTGCAAAACAATGACAATTACTAACAATATTCTGAATCACCAGACCTTATGACACCACTGAAAGCTTCTGTATTGCTCTAATTCACTGTCTTCCTCTAAGTCAGCAGGTATTGTGAGAAGTTAAGGCATGAGATGAGCCGGGACACCTGCTTCATCATGTCATATGGCCAGCGAGAGGAGACCCGCCTGGAGGACCTATACACTGACACACAGATGGAACTGCTGAACGACTGCAATGAAAGTTTGGGCTTCTTGGAGAGTCTGGACCAGCTCCTAGGAGACCATGCGGTCTTCAATCCCCAAGGTGAAACCATCTATGTGATGGGGGATGCCGGTGTGGGAAAATCCATCCTCCTGCAGAAGCTCCAGAACCTCTGGTCCAAGAAGGACCTGCAGACGGACGCCATCTTCTTCTTTAAGTTCCGCTGCAGGATGTTCAGCATCTTCAAGGACACAGATCAGATCTCCCTCAGAGACCTTTTGTTCAAATACAACTGCTACCCAGATCACGATCCAGATAATGAGGTGTTTGACTACATCCTGCGCTTCCCGGAGAAGGTTCTTTTTACATTTGATGGCTATGATGAGATCCAGATCAATGACCTGATTAATGCTCCTGAAGTGGTGTCACCAGAAGTCAAGGCACACCCCGTCCAGCTGCTCATCAGCTTGCTTTGTGGGAAACTACTCAAGGGCTCCCAGAAGGTGCTGACGGCCCGGACGGGGACCGAGATCCAGAGCAGGGTGATCAGAAAGAAGCTGACTCTGCGGGGGTTCTCCCCGGCTCATCTCAAGACCTACATTGATCTTCACTTCAAGGAGCAGGAGCACCGAGATCTGGTGTCTGTTCAGCTGGATGCCAGCCCCCACCTCTGTGGCCTCTGCTCCACCCCGCTGTTCTGCTGGATTGTACTGAAGAGCTTCAGGCACCTGCACACCATGCACGACAGCTTTTATCTGCCTGAAACCTGCATCACACTCACGGACATCTTCCTCCTGCTGTCTGAGGTGTTCCTCAGCCGCTCGGGCTCACCTGCGCCGTCTCTCCTGAAGAAAAGCACTCGGTGCGTCTCAGAGACATTCAAAGCGGGGCTCAGGCCTCTCACAGCATTTGCCAAACTGGCCCTTCAGGGTATGGAGAGCGGTAGCTTCATTTACAGCCAGGAGGAGATCACTGAGTGTGGCCTGGCAGAGGAGGACCTGACCATGGGCTTTCTCAGACCCATCAGTGAGTATGATGCCAGTGGGAGCCCCGCTACATTTGAAGTCCTCCATGTCATCCTCCAGTCTTTCCTGGCGGCGTTTGCTCTGGTGTTAGATGAGCAGGCTGCTGCCGCCTCCATCCTCAAGTTCTTTGCAGAGTGCAGCAGGAAAAGAGAGCCGTCCTGTCTGCCGTTTGACCCCTGCAACTGTGGCTCCTCGAAGTCCAACGAAAATACGCCATTTGAAACGAATGAACACCTCCAGTTCACTAATCTCTTCTTGTGTGGACTGCTGTCCAAGGCTCACGCTGGCCTGATGGAGCACCTGGTGTGTCCTGTGTTACTGAAGAAAAAACGGGCCTTGCTGAAATCCTACCTCTCCACCAGTGTAAAGTACCACCTCACTGGCTTACCCCACTACAACAGCGGGGAGGGCAGGAAAGTTCACGTTTTGCCCAACTTCCTGTGGATGCTGAGGTGCATCTTTGAGACAGGCAGCAAAGACATCGCTCAGATGACAGCGAAAGGCATCACAGCCGGCTTCATCAAGCTGGGTTACTGCAATGTGTTCTCAGGGGACTGCACCGCCCTGAACTTTGTACTGCAGCACCGTCGGAGGCTCCTGGGCCTTGACATGGACAACAACAACATCAGTGACTATGGGGTGAAGCAGCTGAGGCCCTCCTTCTGCAAGATGACAGTAGTGAGGTAAAAAAAACATACACACACTACAACTACCGTCAAATCTCCATTGATGGACGTTCAGGCTGATATTATAATGTAAACACTAATCCAACTGCTTGTCTTCAGATTGTGTGTCAACCACCTGTCTGACAGCAGCATCGAGGTTCTTGCAGAGGAGCTGTGTAAGCACAAAGTCGTGGAGGTCTTAGGGTGAGTGAACATGGCAATTGTTCCAAGATAACTGTGTGCCAGTGGGGAAAAAATGTTCAGATATTTAACTAAGTGAAAAAATTGACCCTTTAAATTGGGAGAAAAGGGACCAGTGGGTAAATGGGTAGTGGTTTGGTCCTTTGGTATATAATTGTATTTTTGGTTGTACAAACAAGTGTTAGTGCTCCATAAAGGACAATTCTGCTCTGTTATTCTGAAAGTGAAACAGAATCTTCAACCTTTAATCCGTTTTTTTGTCCTCAGGCTTTACAACAATTACATCACAGATGTTGGAGCCAAGCTCATTGCTCAGATAATTGAGGAATGCCCAAAGCTGCGAGTTGTCAAGTATGTTTCTAACCTGTATCAATATAAAGTTTAAATACTATAATAATGATATTTGTAAAATTAATGTGTCTTATGTTTCGTAAATTGATGACATTGCTTTTTCCTTAGGATTGGGAAAAACCAGATCACTAGTGTTGGTGGGAGGCATTTGGCCAGCGGCATACAGAAGAGCACTTCTATATTTGATGTGGGGTAAGACTTCACTGCTGTAAAACCTCTTGGCTGGTTTAGATCACTTAAAGCAGCATATTCTCATCCAGCTGTGCTCATGAAAGAAATGATATATCAAGTGACACAAAATATGTTCAGCGTGTTATCTAAAAAAACATCATTGTTTAAATTTTCACGATTGAACCCAAATTTTGCAAAGCATTAGAATACGTTTGTCAAGCTTTCGCAAGTTGTGCAATTTTCCAAGCATTTTTTCGGCTAACCTGACAATCCATTGGTGAATAAAGCACGGTAAATTACAGCACAGAGGAGTTGTTTGACTTGTTTAATCTTGATGGAGGTCTGTGCACATAATATAAATGTGAAATTAAAGGTGCAGCGTGTAGGATTTGGCGGCATCCAGCGGCGAGATTGCGGATTGCAACCAACTGAAACTTCTCCTGTGTGCCAAGCGTGTAGGTCGGAGAACTACAGTGGCCAAAGCGAAAACATGAAAGTGCAAATGGCCCTATTATCTAGAGCCAGAGTTTAGTTTGTCCGTTCTGGGCTACTGTAGAAACATGGCGGCCGGCTCTGTGAAGAGGACCTGCTCCTTTTGTTGTTATAAAAAGGGCTCATATTAAAGTGAAGAAAATACAACAATTCTTATTTCCAACTGATTATACACCAAAGAAAACATACTTTAGTTAATAATATATTCTGCCAATTGATCCCTCTAATTTGTATACACTGCACCTTAAAAGCATGAAAACATGTCTAATACATCTTCTCTTGGAGGATACTGCTGGTCCTTTGTGTTTGTATGCTTTGTGACACAGCCCGATGACTGTTTTCATATCTTTGCTTCCAGAATGTGGGGGAACAGCATTGGCGATGAGGGAGCAGAGGCATTTGCGGAAGCTCTGAGGCACCACCCGAGACTTACCAACCTCAGGTGAGAAGGCAGCTACCGACAAAGACAATAAAAACCTGCTGATTGAAAATCATTGATTAAATTGAGTAATTTCTATGTTCTAGTCTCTCAGCCAATGGCATCACGTCTAAAGGTGGGAGGTGCCTGGCAGAAGCGCTGAAAGAGAACAGCGTCCTCAGGATATTCTGGTAGGCAGGTCGCCCAGTTTGAGCAAAGTGAATATCTGAAGTTCTAACAGAACTACTCTCTGTATTGAAGTGCGTGTCTATGCTGTTGTAGGTTGGTGCAGAATGAGTTGACTGACGATGCAGCTCCACTCTTGGCTGAGTTGGTCCAAGCGAACACAGGTTTAAGCCACCTCTGGTAAAGAAAACACACACGCTCTGTATTTACTCACATGATGTGAAGACCAGGGGTCTCATTTATAAAACTGTCACGGTTTAGGCTTTGCCCCCTGTGTTCCTGTGTGTCTGTGTGTGTGTGTGTGTGTGTGTTTCCCTCGATTGCACTCATCCTACTCACCTGCCCAGTCCACTCAGCTGCCTTCAATCTTCTCATCACCCCACACATATATACTCCCCTGCTTTCCCTGTTCTGGTTGTCAGATCGTCCTTGTTCGTTCCCCTGTCTGTCCCTGCATTGTGTCTCCCTCGTGTTTGCGCCGCGCTCCAGCGTTTGACATTTTGACTTTTTAAGTAAAAACCTTATTTTTCAACTTCATCTCGTCTCCAGTGTCTGTGTCTGCGCTTGAGTCTCAGATCTGCCCCTCGGACGTGACAGAACGATCTGACCATGACAGACTCAGCAGACCAGTATTGGGGAACCCGCTTGGCCAGGGGAGGGCCTTTGAGCGTCCAGTCAAGTTTGTTTTTATAGATCACAACGTTTGCGTGGGAAGTGGCGATCGCCTCTCTTAGGCCCCGTTTTGTGCGTACGCAGCGGTTATAAAGGAGACCCCTGTTGAATACCACGGTCAGACACTGATCATCAGAAAGTCACATGCTTTGTATATTTGTCTGCAGGTTAATCAACAATCAGTTCACTGTGGATGGGATCAAAAACCTCGCTGCAGGCCTTACCAACAACACAGCACTCAAAGAGATATGGTGAGGATCAAGAATCATTTCACAGTGACTCTCAGGCATCTGTGGTAACATTTCCTTTCATCCAATTATCAAAGTAATGCAAGAAAAGAAGACTCAGACTTCATCACGGTTTTATCACAGTTAAAGTGAGACTGTGTAACAACAACCAATGATTAACAGTCGTACAGGTGGAGAAGAGACGCGAAGTCAGTGAGCTGGCAGCAATGGAGTGCTGCAGAGGAGGTGTATATTTGTAGGCTAACCCCGGCAGTTAGCACCTCACTGGTTCTCTCGACAAAAGATAAGAAAATAAGCTCTGTGGCAACCACGGACCTTATTTCAGGCATATCGGCAACAACCCATTTAAAAAACCTATTGATACCAGACGATTCCAGGTTTTCTTATTGCTTATATTTAACTTTTCATTTGTGGGGGATGGGGTCTATTTTCTTGAAACAGGATCGTGTGGGAGGTCATAACACAATGACGTCTCACTGTCAATTGCAAACCAATAGTATCATTATTTAATATTGGATAGCTGGTAGGAGGGGCAGAGGGGAATGGATCTTTATTTGTATTGGATGTTATTATATGGATTGTCTGGCTTTAATCAATATTTGTATAATGACTGTGTCAGGAGACAATGGGAAAGGTGTCGCTCGATGAACCTACGGAGAATTATCGACTGAATCTGCAGCTCCCCTTGACTTTACAGAGCAGAGTTTCAGCTCGCTGTTGAGCTGTCCGATCAGCAACTTTACTGTTTGGGCTCGCTCTCACGGCTTTCATAGCGTTGTTTTGGGCTGCAGCAGGCAGCTCTTTTGAGAGAAAAAGCTCTAAAACACGACCTGCCCGGCAGCAAACAGCAGACAGACACAGTGAGAGACGAGCTGGTGAACACAGTGGAGCATGTAACAGTTAGAGGGACAGATATGTCCATCAGTAGTTAGTACAGACACAAAATAGAGCTGAAAGTGAGAGAATATTGGACTCACATGGACGCAAACACAACTCCAGATGACTGATCATGTTGCCAAATGGCCCAAAAAAAACTTATTGCCAAGGATAATAGAATAAGCTTTCTTCTTTTATAAATGATTTTTATAAAAAATCATATATAATATAAAAAATGATTTTACTACTGGTAAAAGTAGGGTACTGAAGTAGCCTTCTGCTATTATATGTGACAAAACGTCTCCGGGTTTTGCGGTTAGCCCTTCATGTTAAACTGTAGACTAAATTCAAATTAATGGATCCTGAAAGTTGGAATTGCTAAACATAATTAGTTGTATTTAATGTACTATTGTGATTATAGTGATGCATCCGGAAGCTCGCATGCTTTATGTTTTGCTGTTTCTGTTAATTGAAAATGAGTCACTCACTGTTGTAGAATTAATTAGGGTGACAAACCCTTCAACAGAGCCATTTCCATGTATTCTCCCTTTTGAAAGCATGAATGTCTGATGGTGTCTGATTGCTTTCTTACAGTGTGAAAGGAAACCAGCTCTCTGAGGAGGAAGAGAAACTGTTTGTGGAAGAGAAAAGGCTGCGGTTCCACTGACTGGGCAGTGCCGTGAGACAAGCATGTGCTGAATAATGTCCGTATGAAAAGACAAAGTGTGTTCACTGTATGCACAGTGTCACCAAGCTGACACAGCATGGTGTATGATTTCACCTGGGTGCAACTGTTTGGCTGTGGGCAAAAAGTCTGACTATAATGGAAATACCGTGTATGTACGCATCACATTGTTCATTGTTGATGAAAACAGTCTGTTTCATGTTCGTGTAGAAGATGTTTACTGTGAAATTTCGACCAAATATTTGACAGCCGACATGACTGAAAAAAGGAAGTGAAAACAAACCACCGGCTTCCTTCTCCGTGAACCCTTTCATAAACTTTAGGTGCATGTTTTTATTTGTATGCATTTATAAACATAACTATTATATTTATTATGTGACTAGTTTTCCACAGAGCTGATGGGATGTGTTGAGGTGTACATTAGTGTGAGAGTGACTGATGTTTACTGTCTGTGCAGAGATATACAGATACCCTTTGGCAACTGGATGCCAATAAGAATGTATTCGGTTGCATGACATCAGTGTATAAATGTGTTCTGATGGACTCTTGAGAGGGAAAAGGCTGATGGCCTCTGGTCAACGAGGACAAAACATGGAGCTTGGTTCAATAAAGAAGACTGCTCTCCTTATTCTCTGGATCTGTTTCACAGCAGAACTCATCAAATGAATTATGCCACTGTTCTACTGAAGTGTTCTAGGAATCTACTGCATGACATTGAGCTAGCATGGCCAATAGTAGCGTCCTCAAACTGACATACCCAAATGGAAGGCAGCCATTATTTAGGTTGAAAATGACAGCCGTGCTTTCTCTGCTATATCTTTCAATTTCTGCTGCGAAAAAGGCCAATTATTTGCCTCAATAAAATATATGAGGCAATTTCTTGTTGCGGTCATAAAACTATTACTATTGTATTTAATACAAAAATTGCATCAAAATGTAATTGTACAGTATGCCATAGAAACATCATAAAAAAGTCAGAATAGTGGGATATGCCCCTAAAAAAATAAAAAAGTCATAGCTTAGTATTTAAAAAGTCATAGTATAGTAAGTGGGAAAAAGTCATAAAAAGTAAATAAATAATTGTATACTATTTTTAAACTTGTATCATACTAACATAACTTTTTTTAAATACTATACTATGACTTTTTTACATAATAAACTGACTCCTATTACTTTTTTTGACATACAGACTTTTTCATGAATTTTTACGACATACTATGACTTTATTTCAATTATAGTTATATTTAAACTATATTATAGTTTTTCGACAGTATGAATTTTTTTTCCTTCCGATATACTTAATTATGCCTTTCGACATACTATACTATGACTTTTTAATGAATTGTTTTCAGCATACTTTTCGACTTGTTTCGATATACTATAATGTGACTATTATTACTTTTTTTTTTTTTTATTAAAACATACTCTACTATGTCTTTAGGGCCTAACCATTTAAGTAAGGGCTATTCAAGTGTTTGTATTGTTGATTTACCTCGAAACAAATTATCCACAAGTTACTGACGGCTCTTTCCCGATGTAAGTCTATGGGAAAAGGGCCTCGTGGAATCATGTGATGGACCCAGGAATTGTAGTGCCACAGTTTGCCCACTATGTCAAATTTTCCTCAAAGCCTGGCGCTCTCCCTGGGGGTTTGGGTAAGACACATGCAGCGTCTGAGCTGCGACGGAGCATTACAGCAGACGGCGCAACAAATAAAGGAATGGACCTGCACAGGTACTCTTTGGTGGCACTCAGCCTGACCAGGCAGCAACCTCCAGTTCTGAAAAGTGAAGCAAATTCTGAAGTGCTTCAAACTAGCATTCGTTCTTCAGGGGGCGACGACTCTGGTTGCAAAGAGAAGTCTGGTTGTATAGAAGTCTATGAGAAAATGACTACTTCTCATTTGATTTACCTCAGTAAACATTGTAAATATGAGTTTATGGTCTCAATCTCTAGTTCCAAGTCTTCTTCAATACAGCATGATGTTCATTGAGTAAACAATTGTCCCATTTAGAGTAAAATAGACCATAAAGCAGGGTATAATTTAGGGCGGGGCTACCTTGTGATTAAAGTATATGGCATCTCTACCACGGCTTCACTCAGCAGTCCAAATGTGGTCACCAAAATCCATGATGGAGATGGCCAAAATGCTGAACTCAAGGCTTCAAAACCGCCGTCGACAAACCAATGGGTGACGTCACGATGACTACCTCCACTTCTTTGATACAGTCCGGGGGCCGGACAAAACGTTTTGGTGACGGTCGAATGGATGGCGGCCGATAGAAAGCATGTGGTCTTTTATTAGATATCTTATTAGGATATTGACACACAATTTATCATAACAGGAAAGTGAGGATGAGCCAGGCTTTTCAAAATAAAGGCCTAGGAAACTAGGGATGGAAAACGTTTCACAGTCCCACAAAGTAACCAACCTCAGGACGAGGCTGTTTTTCTTTTGAAATAAAAGCTCTATAGAGCAACTTTCCTCAAAGGAAGCCCCCAACTAATAAAAGCCCCCAACTCTCACTGTATGTTAACAGGAAACTAGGAATCAACCTATTTTTTCAAAAATAAAAGCCCCACAGTAGCTATATCATAACAGGAAGCTCAGGGTGAGGCATGTTTCTCAAAATAAACAACCCTAACAGTCACTGTTTATGATCAGGAAAATAAGATTAGACCTAGTTTTTCAAAAGTAAAAGTGCTTACAGTTCAACTCTTGTCACGGGCTTAGTTAGACCTTAACTGATTTTATCCTAATTCCAACAAAGACAATTTCAGGAAACATCAATTTCTTCTTTGTATACTTCAGCTCATTTAAGACCTTGCTCTAAAACTCCCATTTGAACTTTCATAGTTTACTCTATATTTTGCATCCATCATCACTTTCCCACTTCTCAAACTACTCACACAGTGCTGCTTCAGCTGCTTTTTTTTTCATTTTAAACTAAAATCTACTGGTTCATACTCCATTCAAACATCAAAATCTCCCGCATCTCTCATACATTAGAAATTTTGTACAACTTTTTAAGCCCATTTATACTTTTTGAACATATTAAACACAGCTGATTGAGAATTCATAATTTGAACCCATCCCTTTCCTACTTTTTCAACTCATTCATTCTCCTTCAGCAGCCTCTTCATCCAAATAGCAATTCAGTTTAGCCTCAGCCTGTCAACACTTAGTATTGACATCTCAATGTATTCAGGAACTTTCTTAGTTTTATGTTTTATTATTTTTTTATAGCAAAAGATATAGATACACATTGTCAGATTTCAAACACTATGCAATTTAAAATAGAAATGCTGTGCTCTTGTACGATAAACAAGATGTCTGGATATTTATCATGTTTTATCTATTCAATAGTTACAAGGAAAACTTCTTGATACTTCAGTATTTCATGATTCTCATCAACTGCTATGTGAAAATGTGTTTGACTACACAGTGAATATCAGTAGCCATAAGCTAATACAAATACAGCCTCCCAGTATCAAATGCCAGGAAGATATGTCAAGAGCACTACGAATACATACTGATACACAGATTCCAAAAATGTGACATTGAATAAGTCTGTCAGTCTGTCAAGAATATTTTAACATTTCAGCACTCTACCTTCAGTGTTTAGTAATTGACTTTTTTTAGTCAGTGAAACAACAGCAATTCTTAATCCCAGTGGGGTTATTAAAGTATTCGAACTTTCTAACTTTCTGTTTGACACCCTAAGGGTCCCCCACTCACTCTGTCATCTCCAGGACAATTTCCTACCGGTACACTCCCCTGCACATCCCTGCTATGTTTCTTTATTTAAATACACTTGACACTTTTTATACTTACATTACACTTGTTTATAGTTCTGTTATCCGTTTGTTTGTGCACTATATTTTACAGTACATTTTTATATTTTTTGCACTGTGTTGATTGTTTAATGTTATGCACCACCCGCCATGTCAAATTCCTTGTATGTGCAACATACCTCTGCAATAAACGGTTCTGATTCTGATTCGGCCAAATGTTATCATGTCATATGCAGACAGAAGAGAGTGATGCTTTTATTATATGTAGTGATTAAAGATGGATTCATATTTTTCTTGCTTGCCTGACGTTACATTCGGCTCACCGTTCTGCTTGATGAAGGCCTGAGAAAACAAAATATATTATATATCTGAGACCATCATCTCACTCATATTTCTGTATCGGTAGCTACAAGTCTCTAATAGTCTTACCTCCATTTCCTCCAAGGAGGCAGATCCGTCCTCCACTCTCTGTCCAAGGCCATGACTGAAACTTGAGTAGCGCTCCTGTGTGAATCACACATAGATAACATTACTGTACCTGTAAATATAAGTCCATTAAACAGTGGTTTTCCTTTAGCTGCAGACATACCTTCACCATACCAGCGATGAGCCCGTCCTTAATAATGCGAACAGCATTTCTGAGTCCTCTGGCAAAGGTGTCCATGGCTCCGATGTGAGCGATGAACAGGTCCTCCAGGTCTGTGGACTCCCGGCGCACCTTAGCATCAAAGTTCAGGCCTCCTGGCTGCAGACCACCTTGTTCAACGATGACCTGGAGAAGATTAGACACTAAATAATAACTAGGTTCCTGAATCACTGTTCTGAACTGTACTACAGACCGTGCAATAAACATTTATATGAACATTAAAAATGCACTAATCAATATTTTCTATATTATCTATTTCTATTTTGGGGGTTTTCCAGCCAGGATTGTCCTCATTAGCCTTGTTCGCTGCCACAGAAGGCAGCTGTTTTCAGCTAAATGTTTCTTATTTGGGGGTTTCATTACTTTATATACATATAATAAGTATACCAATATCAATTAGGTGGTTACCTGCATGAGAAAAAAAGTTATAATATTCATCCGCTTAATTTGACAAAGACAAGCGCTAGAAAGGTTTACGCTGTATTTTACAAAGCATCATGGTCTTTTAAAGTATACATTACACGAACATACACGTTTCAATGTCTTCGTGTGCACACGGCCCTGCAGTCTCATGCCCTTTTATGGGGATTGGCAGGGCGTGTACCTACGCTAATTAGGATTAACTGCCACACACCTTCAATTTACGAGGACATTGGGATTCATCATTATTACAACACAGGCACAAACAATGCTGCTGTTTAAGAACAAATCGTGAATCTTTTCTTCGGACCTTTCTTGAGGACAATGTTTTATTTATTTTTTTACTTTGGAAGATATTAATGAATAAGGCCCGTGTTGCTAATATAATTTGTTCCTCTGCCCCCCTGTGGCCAAAATATCAATCGTTACTAATGAATAATCCTTTAAACCTTTGCTAAGTGTTTGAACAATGTCAACTATTTCTATCCTTATCTTACAGTGTTTGGACAATGTCACCTGCACAAACATCATCGGCAATAAACTCTGCTACAAATCACTGAAATAAGTTCACCTTCATGACCACGGTGGTGTTCCTGATGTCCATGGGGAACTGGTCTGTGTCCCAGCCCAGGTCAGTAGAGCCAGTGTTGGAGTCAACTGAACCCAGCATCCCAAACCTGTCCACCAGGAACATACAGAAAGTCAAACTGTCATCGCTTTAAAGATGCTGTGGATGTGCCAAACATTTTGCAACAGTAGATATTAGATATTATTCATAATGTCTCACGCAGACGCCATGACAACGTCATGTTCGTAGGAGTGTCCTGCCAGAGTGGTGTGGTTGGGCTCAATGTTCAACTTGAAGTGACTCTTCAGACCGTAATGCTGAAGGAATCCGATGACACTCATAGCATCTAAAGAAGAGAGTGACATATAGAACGCATCATGAGGACTGTTGGATTACAAAGCATGTTTGTTTGGACAAACCTTACCATAGTCATACTGGTGTTTGCAGGGCTCCTTAGGCTTGGGCTCGATGAGAAACTGACACTTCAACCCAATCTTCTCTTTGTACTCTGGTGACAAATATACAGACGTGAAATTTAAAGTGGGCCGCATGCTGACCAAAATTCTGATTTGGAATTAATCCTGTATTCATGTGCACACTTACTGATGGCCATTTTGAAGAAGTTGGCCATGTGCTTCAGTTCAGCAGCAACGTCCGTGTTATGGACGGAGAAGAAACCCTCCCTTGCTCCGCAAAACACTGAGACAAATATATACAACGATGTGGCAACGATGTGGCTGCACTGCCGGAGCATGTCGATAGTTTAGACACATCAAGTCACTCATACCGAAATTTTCTGCACCCAGCTTCTTGGCGGTATCGAGCCCCTTCTTAAGCTGAGCGCCAGCGTAGGCCAGAACGTGACAGTCTGGGTTGGTGGCTGCACCATTCATGTACCTGTCACATGGATAACATGTGTATACATCATTAAGTTTACTGAGAAAGAACCTCTTTCCTTGCTAAACCTCAGGATTATTTTTTTTGGGGGGGGGGGGGGGTTCTGAATAAAACTCTGACCTTTGGTGGACAAAGAGGTTGCAGGTGGCCCACAGCACCTTGATTCCAGTCTGGCTCTGCAGCTGGAGAGCCAGATCTGTTATTTCCTCCAGGTTCCTGTTGGACTCCTCCAGGGTGGAGCCCTCAGGAGCCATATCCCTGTAGTAAACAGAGGACGGATATTACATTTCCCTGCTTTTAAATACTATTTAATTAATTAATTACGGCGATTCGCACAGAGGAAGTTGCCAAAGGAGGGTCTTACGGCACAACACCACTGTAGCAAGTCTTACTGGCACTAGATAGATATTCTAATAATCCATTTAAACCAATATTCACGTACAAAGTACAGGTAGTTTGATTATGTAAGCCCAGATAATAAATATCAAGAAAAAAACAAACCTATCAAAAACAATGAAATGGTCAACTACCTGTCATGAAATGTGTAGTATTTCACCTGTAAAAAAAAAAAAGAAAGAAGAAGAAACAGCAGTCACAGAGGAAACACACATCATAACATATACAGTAATCAACTGTGTGTAACTGTGACTTTCATGGTAAAGTTGAAGTGATTTCCCCTCACGCCAAGCTTGGTGAAAAACTCAAAAGCGGCCCGGAGTCGCTTCTTGGCTGAGTCCATCGGAGTTCCTTCATTCCAGGGCTGGTGGAGGGTCGGAGACCCAAAAGGATCAGCTCCTAATAAAAGAAGACGACAATTCAAAGAAAGAAGATAATATCTGTTGGGCTCAATTAAAAATGTATTTCTGTATACAAATCTAAAAAGACAATAGAATGACAGCATTCATGTGTGTTTACAAGAGCCTATTCCCACAGACTGTTTGAGGACTGATGACAAAATGAGTGTTAGGTCAGTTGTTACAGTACCAGTGCCACAGAAGGTGTGCCAGTAGCAGACGGAGAACCTCAGCCAGTCCTCCATCTTCCTCCCCATCAGCACCTGCACAGACAAGCACCGATCTTAGACCTTCAAACATGGCATCCGCACGCACTCACTCACTCACTCACACACACACACACACTCACACACACACACACACACACACACACACACACACACACACACACACACACACAC